TGTTTTTGTGGATCCCGAGCAGAGCTAACCGCCAACAATGTGATCCAGTGGGATGTGAAACTGTGTGGATAAGTAAACCTACTTTCTGTTAGGGTTTCAACATGAAACTTACTTACATCTTCACGTCAAACCATTCTAATATCATCTCATTTGTGTTTGCCATGCACAGGTGCCCATGCATTGGGTCTGCAATGCATTTTCAACGTCGAAAGGAGGACCAGGAGCACGGCGGTGACGTCATATTTCCTAAAGTAGACATGTGCCTGATTACGTTGGGTGGTTGGTTCAGCCCAGCGCTCACTACCAAAAAAATCGACCCTAGGTCTTTTTTTAAAATCCCGACACCCCCTTGTCTTTTATTGACTGCTTGTCGCCGAACCGCTTACTAAGCGGTTCGCTCCTCACAGCCAATTTGCAGCCAATGGAAGTGGGTTCAAAATTTGTACTTACAAAAAGGTGTGATGTATCCCACAGTGGAGCCCTTGAGCACTGCAGGCTAAAACCCACTACTTACAGCTAAATGCAAAACCCTAGGCACCTCCCTAAAATTTCTGGTGTCTACTGTATACGACTGGGGCCAGCCAAGGGCCAGCTGTACGAGGTTGGTATGATGGCTTGGAAATAGACCTTGACAAGCAAGGTAAAACAAATACCAAACAAGTGCTGAAGTGCTGAGCGCTGAAGCCCAGTGAAAACCGACTCTGTTACCAGCCGCAAGTATCTGCGAATTCCCGGCAGATATCGGAGATCGTCGGCAGAGCAGAAAGGTGCAGGTAGAATGGGATTTCGTCCCTTTTGCGGATTTTTTTCCGCAACTGTCTGCCCCTTTTCGACGAACTACGGCGTTGATTGCGGAAATTTCGGCGGCTACCCCTTCTATTCTGCTCCCATCTGCATTTCTCTGTCCTCACTTGTAGGTAGAATTTTTTTGTAATTCCTTCATATAATACACCATTTCCTGCGAATATCTGCAAATTTCTGGTTGCTATATACTCAAGACCCCTGCGACACGACATCTATCCCTGGAACGGAACCTTAACCAATTGCCGTTTCACACCCATTCCCACCCATCCGCTTGTGCACACATCTGAGAGACAGATATATCAATGTCGGGGGTCGGCATTGTAGATGGGGGGAGTAAAGGGAATTTTGAGGCGCTGTATATTTCGTCCATCAGACATGCGACACCACACCAAAACGCACTCACAACTTGTCCTCGACATAGAATACACTGCAGAAGGCGCATATATGCACCGAAAATGGTCACTTAGACGACATGTACAAGGACAGGAAGTCACTTACCGAGGTATCAGAAATGGACACGCTTCCTTGTACCCAGTAAGAACAGTCACTCAAGCTCCAATAATGGTACTCATGGGCGAGCCGCGAGATGTCATGCAGAGCCTATAGGTTGACGATTCTGTATGAAGAATATGTTCATGTATGTTAACGAGAGGAATGGGCGGAATGGTGGGAAGTGCGAGGAGACGGATTGGGGGAGATGGTGGGGG